AGGGAGAGAGAGAGAGAGAGAGAGAGAGAGAGAGAGAGAGAGATATTTACCTTATTAGATTGGTTTGATCGGTCAAATAATTAAAAGAAGGAAAGATTATTTAAAACTTTCTTTAATTTAAACATAGACCATATCAAACATATTCTATATTATTTTAACCATGTAAAACTTCCATATTCTAGGTAAAACACGATCCTACCTTGGAGGGGTCTTTACATAAGTAAAGAAATTTATTCAAGGATGAAAAAATACTTTGAGAAAGATCTGTTTATGTCCAGCGAACCTGTAACAGCAAGTTCTAAAATCTTCTTACCATCTTCAGTGATTTTTGTTCTATTGAAGAATCTCAAAGCAAAAATCGTGTTCTTCAATTGTTATTGAAGATAACACACCTGAGCGTGAATGAAATCTTGCTAAAAAAATCAGGCTACTTGGATTGAGTTAAAATTGGTAAATCTTATCCAAGTGGCGATTGCAGCCGAATACAATAGTAAAGTGATGATAAAGTCAAGATTGGAGGATTTGATTTCACTTCTCCAACAAGTCAAAAGAAGAAAGAAAATGAGAGAGTAGTTCTTTACTTATTTATTATTGTTTTTGTTAATTTTACAAAATTACAAGATCGAAACTATTATATTTTTTATTCTTTGATAGAGGAATATTTTACTCATGGCTTGGGGCCCGTAAATATTTCCCTTAGGGGTTGCCCGCTATATCTGATGATTATTTTTATTTAATTTCATAATAGATTATATCTTGTAGAACACAAATTGTTAAGTAGTCCCAGTCAAAACTGTGAGTAAAATTGCTTGTAAGAAGTTCTGACTATCTGCCTTATTCTGGTTGAAACGAATAATTGAGAGAAATTGGTCGATTAACTCAGTTTTAAAACGTTTAATTGGTATTAGAGTGGTTCACTTTCAAAAAGTCTATAGAAAATCTAGAAATGAATGGAGCACCATTTAGATCTCCTGGCTCGGATGGGACTAATTATTTTTATTGAAAAACTAGAATGTAAGTCTAGGTCCAATCTTTAGATAAGAAAGCATGTTACTCGATCGTGTATGGCTACAAAACTCCAACCTTAATTGAAAATGATGTAGAAAGAGATAAACGAGCAAATGAGTGGGTGACTACTTGGGATTTGTTTGATTGTATCAATTAATGGAATCTTGATGTGAAGTTCTTCAACATGTCCAAGAACTTCTCATATTGTTCTTCCAACTTCATTTTCTACAATCTCTGTGGAAAAGGGGACATGAGGCACATAAGTCTTGATTGCAACGGTTATCTTAAAATGTAGATTGTCTGACTTCTGATCTAGCATTATTTTTGTTGATTGTTCAGATTGGACCACACGGTCCTTATTTGTAGAAGGTACCTTTTCATTTAATACTACCTTAACTGTAATTTTTGGAAGATAACCCCACTTCGCACAGTAATTGCCTCAATTTACTTGTTCTCCATAGTTGTCACTGTCATTACCTATTATTTGAGAATTGTCAAAGCGTCACTTGGCAGGATCCTAGCTGTCTTTCTAGAAGTGCTTTTGCTATTTGTCCTATCTAATTTTCAAAATTCTGTATTGCAACTCCTTAAACTTGAAAATGTTTCTCAATCTGTTACCTAAACCTAGTTGATGCTTCAACTATTATGATCATTGCTTCAGTTGATGATGCTGCCAATTTGTTAAATGTTTCTTCTCGTGTGCACTTCTTTTCTGGCTGCCGAAAATTGGGTAGTGCATTTTATTATGAGATACCCTGAGCAGTCTGATTATTACTCCAAGAGAAATTCCAAGATGGATTATATGAATTGGAGTAGGGATTATTTTGCCACCTTTGAAAATTTTGCATATAATTTATATCATCGACTGGTTGAGCAAAAGGACTCCCCACATTACAATCCACACTATCATGACTAGTCCCCGCAATGCCTACATTTTGGTTCAGCTGCTTGAATTGCATTTATATGATCTACCTTCTGAGCTAATACTTCTAACCGTGCTGAAATCTCTATCAATGAGTCAGCTTCATAGATTCTAACAACTTTCTTCCCACTTGATCTTTCTAATGGCCAAAGTGCACTAGTGAATATAAGATCCCCCATTATTTGGTTGACTTGATCCGTTGTTTTTCTTTCTTTTCTTTTTTTTGATCAAACCATACGCAAAGTCAACGTAGCCCTGCTTGTCAAATTTAGCCCATTGTAGAAATATTGCACTTTAAGCCAATTCTACAGATTATGCTGCGGACATTGACGGAGCATCACCTTGTATGTTTCCCAAACCTCATAGTATCACTCAACTTAGCAATCCTTTTAGGTGGAAAATATTTGTCCAGGAATTTCTGGCCCAAACTGTTCCAGTTGGTGATGCCGTGAGATGGAAAAGTATCCAACCATTTAGTGGTCGAGTCTCTCAAAGTGTAAGGAAAGGCCTAGGTGGATTGCTTCAATTGAAACACTCAAATATTCTATTGTTGCACACATGTCCAGAAATCTTGAAATATGAGCCTTAGGATTTTCAGTAATTCTCCCAAAGAATTGTTGTTGGAACATGTTGATCACATCCATCCTCAAGTGGAAATTTGTCAGATCAAATGCCGGATTGGCTTTCCACAACCGGTGGACCATGTATTCCCCCATCAACCTCGCGTTTTCTTTGCCGCAGTGACATTCAGATGTGCTACATTTACATTCAATTCAACGACCACTTAATTTTGTATGTTTTCTGCCATTGATTCTGCTTGCTATTTTTGGTATGCATCTAACTATTCTCTTCACCTAAATCTAAATATTTGTTTGATTTTTGGATCAAATTGAGCAAAATCATCGTGTCTCTAATTTTGCATAAAAGACCCTGCAAAAGAAAAATAGAAAACACTGTAATATTTTTATAATTCATGAAACTAACTAGTAAAGTAATAAAAATTCAAATTAAAGATAGAATTAACTAAACTAATTAAATAATAGAATTAATGCTATAATTCTCGACAATGGCACTAAAAACTTGATCGTTTAATTTTCCGCAAGTGAACGAGATCGTAAACAAGTTATAAAGTAGTGAATAGAATGTCAAATCCACGATAACTATATACTTGATATATTGTCAAATAATTTCAACCTTAACTGAATAGCTAAATTGATTTGAGTATTTATACTAAATGAACTAATTATATTAACTAAGCTAATTGTGAAAGTTTTTGTCAAATATGTAAAATGATGCCAAGACTTTGAATTTTTCTTGTTAATTCATTTTTAATACAATTAAATATCATGAAAATATGTACTTATTCATGTTGATCAATCTTCGTAAGTTAATTAAAAGTATCTCTCGAAGCCAATTAAATCTATCCCT